TACCGTCGAGTCCCCATGTCCTATCATATGAAGAAGGTGCTTTTTGGATCCTCATGTGCTATTATATGGAGGTACTCTTAGGCCCTCATCTCCCATTATATCGAGGTTCTCTTGAGTCTTCATATCCTATTATACAGGGCTACCCTTAGGTCTGATGTTCTCTTAACCCCCCTTCCAAGAGGTAAAGAGCAGAATCCTGGAGTTCTAGAATTCTATGGAAGGCGCCGGAATCCTGTGGAATCCGACGTAATTCTATGGAATTCGAAGAAATCTTGAATTCCAGGATTCCGCTCTTTTCCAAGGAAACAGAACACTTTTGTTCCGTTTTGGGAAAGACTTCTAAGAAATCCAATGGAATCATGCGGAATCCTTGGTGATCCTACGGAATCTTATCGAATCCTAGAGAATCTTTGGAATTCAGGAGAATCCAAGATGCCAGGTTTCTGCTCTTTTCCCCCTTGCCTCTTGCCTCACTCGTCTTTCCAGAATAAACCTCAGTAGGCTTTTATTCTGTTTTGAAAGTTATAAGTTTGCACATAGGCTCTTATTGCGTTGAATGTTTTTTATGTTGCCCTTAGGATTTATTTAGCACATTAGGACACAGTATTTTAAAAACCAATAAATCAAAATGATCAGTTTCTCTGAGAACTGCAGTAGCAGTTGTCACGCTTTCGTAGAAACCAATAGCGGGTTACCAATTCGTTCCTGACCCTATATTATTAAATCGGTAATGCAACGCTTTCTAAACACTGCATTTCCCATTCAGGCATTCATCTCACCCGAGTATTGGCGAGGTCTAGCAATGGACACAAGCAAACGATACTTAGAGTGACATATTCATTCGAGAAACAGTCGAACTGGAAAGAATTAAAAAGAAGTTCGGGTGTGGCTGTGGGTGTGAGGGTGTGGTTGGGTGTGAGTGTGGATATGAGTGTTCTCTTCACGCACACCCACACCCACATTCACCAAAAACTCCACACCCACACCCACATTAACCAAACACTCAACACCCACATCCACATTCACCAAACACTCCACACCCACACCCACATCCACACCCAGTCCTGACACGAAATGAGATACGTATTACTTATTGCGACAGAAATATGCAATGATCCCTTGACTATGCAATAAGGGTTTCCCATTTTGGAAAGATAGATAGTTTAGACTTCTGAGTGTCATAATTGTTTATGTCGTTGACACTGCCATTGGTTTTTAAGCGTAATGAAGTCTTACATAATTGGTATCGATTGTAGTTCAGCTTTTTAAAAACTCGTATTTTCCAGTGAAAACTTTGTGCATATTGCTGCAAAAATTAATATAAATTTTCATGAGTTTGTTTCCGAGCTGCACGTAATTTCTTAAGAGAAAAATACCTAACGGAACGGTATTACTCCATCTATAACACCTTTTCAAAGCTTCTTAGACAGCTATGATTTATTAATACGGCTTGGTATATATTTTCCAACACTTGAAAAACTTTAACTTTTTGTTGACAGAAAGTATATACAAAGCAAAGTAATTAGGACACATAAACTGAGCTACAATTAAATAGTGAGAGGCAATGAGCTCATTTATCAAGTTTTTGAAACTAACTGTCCTGTGCTCATTTTGGATAAATGAGCTGATAATGTGTTTGGAAAGTGATAGCCTTGAGACTGGGCTTCTATTCCCAATGGACATCTATTATACGGCTGTCTTGTACCTTGTGGAGGGATTTTATATGACATGAGAATCGAAGGGTATCTCCATATAATAGGATATGAAGATTCAAGGGTACTTCCATAAACAAAACATAGATCAGTTAAATATATATCTAGTAGCACTGGTGTCAAAGAGGAAACGCCCGACTTTTGACTTCATTGACTTAAAATGACTTTGATGACTTTTAAAGTCATCAAAGCCATTTATCTTAAAAACAATATATCTTGTTATATTCGACTGTTACTTTCAATCTTGGCACCCTTCATGTTTGTAAACAGCGAAGACAATCATAATTTCAATCTCGGCTCTCATAATCCGTTGAAAATGTAGGTAAAGTTAAATCCAAATTCGACTATTTACGATTAGGATTCATTCAGAAACTTGTTCCAATATTGTTATTCTCATCACAAGTACAACTCGATGAGCTCTATCCAGTCGTAGAATTAGATTTTCTATAACTCAAAGTATGCCTCAGAAAACATCACATTCTTGAAACTTCCCTATTAGGATCTCGGAGTTTATAAACTAACAACTGTTTGTGTGATCATTTTTATCAAGAAAATGATGTGACTTACCACTTAGTTTGCTAAAAATCAAGGAAAATTTAACAAAAACATTGTTTTCCTGTTCGTGGTTCCAGTCTGGCTCCTGTAAGTTTTTATGTTTTGGGCTTGACAACTCTTTAGTTTCTGATCTCGACTATCTCTCGTCATCATGAATGATGGTGATGCCTAGGATCGAAGTCTGAGTGAAGATGAAGAATGGAATCTCAATAAGTGTGATGAAGTTGAGGATAAAATCAGACTGAATAATTGCATAACATCATAATCTTACTGCAAAAATAATCCTCGCTCAGAATCCTTTACACTCACTTTCATTACTTCTACTCTATCACTCAGATCTTCTCCTTCATTGTCACCATCATCCTCAACTTCATTCATGTTGCGTCATTGTGTTTTTTGTTAGGTCTGAAGTTCTCAAAATGATATGCCAATTGTGCCTACAACATATATGTATCTTTTTGTTTCGTCTGTTTTATACGCGTATGTCATTGAAAACAAAAGTAAACAAAAATTTGGAGAATATGTCATCGATATTGAAAAAAAAACACAGCTTTTTATTCTTTATTAATGACCTTTTACAGATAATTTGCATGACTTTCTTGACTTTTTTTTGGACTTAAAATGACTTTCTGGAGTTAACTTACTTAAAGTGACATAAATGACTTAACATGAGTTTAAAGTGACTTAAGGGGGCTCCCTCTCTTATAAACTCGAGTGTTTCAGGAAAATATCGAAGTTGAGTTTTTATTATAGGAAGATGCAGCGAAGCTTTCTCTTTCAGAATATCTATAGTTGTTTCGAAAATGATCAGATTTTCAAAGACTTATTGCATGAAACTTTAAACCTACTACGACGTTGTCGGAAAAATTTCCGTAGTTTTTAAAGGTTGTCAGTTTCAGAAAAATTGCGTTCCCACTGGGATTATCATTGAATAGAATATTATTATATTAATCACCATGTCAGATGGTGTTAGCTATCTTCACCTATTACGCCCTTTAAAACGGTCCAGTGAAATAAACCGTTTATATATGATTTGTTCTTGATTTGAATGAAAAAATCCATTTCTAAAACCTTTTTAGCATTTCTCTCGAAACATGGTTTCTATAGAGGAAAATTAGAATACCTCCCGCTCGCCTCGGCACATGACCGATGTTGTTTTTTTTTTTAAAGCTCTTGATCAGAGCTAACTTTTCATCGAACGAATTTTCGATATTTATTTCCAAGGCTGAGAAAAGTGGGATTTACTACCGTACAGTTACATTTTTTTATGCTTATGTTGCAGACATGCCCACAAAATTGCTCGTAAAAAATGAATGGAAGGGAGTTTCAAAATTCCGTTCTATGAAAAGTTGCGCACAGAGGCTAGCTTTAATTTAAAACCAGCTTGAGCTCTGTAGCCCTTCATATGATGAAGTTATTTCGATTCTCCTGGGAGATAGGAAAATAAGCAGAAGGTTCGATCTAGTCGGACATATTGGGATAAAATTTTTACCACAGGCGTTTCTCACTAAGACCAATCATTTCTAAAAATTACAGCCTAAACAATCGACGCCAACTGGGAAATCATTTCTGAGGGGGCCCCTTAAGTCAGTCGTTTCTCCCTTTACAAAAATTCGTTATATTTCGTTCTTTATTAATGTTACTTTAGCCCTTCCGATCAGCTATGTCAAGAATACCGCACCCCTACAGGACAAAATGTTTCCAAATGGAAGCATCCGGACTAAAAGGATTAGTGATGATTTTCATGAATTTTGTGAAACACGATCTGAAAGGAGTGTTGAAGTGTTTAGGGGTAGAAATTTGGACCCCTCACCCCCACACAGATCGTTAGAGACAGGTGACTCCTCCATCACAGACTGTTACAGACAGGTGACTCTCCCTCAGAGCCCGTGACAGACAGGCTGTGAAACCATCACAGATCGTGACAGACAGGCTGTGAACTCATCACAGACCGTGACAGACAAGCTTTGGATCCATCACAGACCATGAGAGAGAAACTGTAGTTCTAAAGCATCAGATAAACGGTTGGCTACAAATGTGTTGCAAAGAAATTGAACAAAACGATTTTGTGAAACACGATCTTTATTCAATTAGCAACACTAGATCCATCGTGTTTCACATTTTTAATCCCGCAAGGGATTGCGCTAACAGCTTTTTTGACTTTGTTTTAACTTTTTATGACTTTTATGATTTAAAAATCACTTATGTCAGTCGTTTTCCACTTGACTGGTATCCAGTTCCAATCTCAGAACTGGCACTAGTGCATGTCTAGTAGAAATCTTGGAAGTACAATGGATATTCCGGGGGTACAATGGGAATCTTGGGAGTAGAACGTGAATCCACAGAATTAAGGGAGTACGAAATCAGTCGTTTTCCCTAGTTACGCGCTCTTGTTCGTTTAGGACACAATCATTACTGTTCTGAGGCATCTTTATTTCGGTATGGTGGAAAAAGGCAGAAAAGAAAAACATCGAACGAAGAAATATCGAAGGAAAAATGTAGAAAGGAAAGAGGAAGAAAAGAAAAAAATCGAAAGGAAATAGAACGAAAAGAAAAATATCGAAAGGCTAAATGTCGAAAGAAGAATATTCAGCGAATAAAAAGTGATCAATCAGAATATATTACTTTATGAAGAATGATAATTTTATTGAATGAAGACAATCTAATAGGATCATGTATAAAGTAACTGACAAATAAATAGATTAATAAGCTTTAAGGAATCAAAGTAAATAATTATTTTTTTCTTTTCGCCGTCGTATTTTTTGCAACGACATAAGAAAGTCCAAGTAATAGTTCATCAACAGTAATATCATTATTTTGATAGCGTAAATACAGTGTATCTATTCTTTGCTGTATAGCATTCGTAGCAGCTGTTTTTGTTCGACACGCAAGACCACCGATCATCTGAATTAAAACATGATTGAAGCGAATTTCTTCGCCTTGTATACATCTAATGAATATCCAAATGTTTGGGTGATGCTTTGCTATTCGTAAATTTAAACGATTATGAAAACCTAAATACATTAGTGAGATACAAAAATTTTGAAAGAGAAATTAATACTACATATACCCTCAGCATTATTGTTCGTTTTAATACGAATACCATAAACGTTCCATCTTTTGATACCGATTGTTTTAACCCAATAGTTTTCATAATATTCAAAAAGAGGTTTCAATGAATCAAGTGCTGATGATGATGATAGTAGTACACTTTCATAAAGATCTTCAAAACATTTCAATACGACTGAAGAGGGCAACAAAGGAAGAGCCATAAGCTTTCTGCATGTCATACGAATACTTTCATCACTACAATAACCACTAGATAAGCCAAGGTGTTGTATTTGTCTGTACACGGCTTGAGTAAAATGGAAGTAGCAACCGATATGGTTGCTACTTGGAAACTAAATGAAATAATATTTTTTTTTATTCTCTTTTCTTAATTTAAAATCAGATAAAGTTACTTCACTAATAATAGCTTCAGCTAAGCTAGGTTCGAAATCAGTAATTATAGTGGATGGGCTGAAAACTAGATTCATTCGAACAGCTAAAGCTTTGAGTTCCTCGAAGACAAATCTGTAAGTGGACTTTTTACGATCAGGTAATAGTCCAATCCCACATATGAATGCTATATGAAAGAAAGATTGAAATATGTACATATATATTACGTTTATTCATCAAATAGATTTTACATTGTTCATATTTAATTGAATGTATCGTGAATACTTGATCAAAAATTTTTGGACAAGTACTAAATGTTCCGTCCATTAAAACAATTGAATTTTGAAATAACAGCTTAAGCTGTTCATTTGAAGCGAATAACAAAATACGTGTTTTTCTCTTGATGAATTTATCAACACAAAGAAATTCTTCATTTTTTATTGTTCGAGTATATAAATATGGAATGTCGAAAATCTGTGAATCAGGAATAGGTGGCGTTTCAAGACGTCGCGCCTTGTTCAAAGAACTACCTAAAGAAAATTCGTTAATATAATAAATAAGATTGTCTGCTTACTCATCTCTCTTTGAGACGGTAAAATAGCAATAGTCGAGAATTTTAAAATCATTTTTGCTGATTCTTCTTCATATATCTTTGGTATAGGAGTGCTTTCTTTAGTGGCACGTTCCTTGACGACTTGTTTAAAAATACGAATTTCTTTTTTCTCTGGTTCAATTACATGGGAATGATTAGCATTTACTTTTAAAAGAACATTATTTAAATCAGTGTGAGCTGTTGCCGTACAATCTCTGTTTTCACAACGATAATATTTTGTGGTATTCGTAGTTTTATTTAACCTAAATACATAATCATCCATAACAAGCAATGGTTTTCCTTTTTGTGATAAAACGAAAGACATTGTACTTGAAGATGAATTCATGATATCTATTGATTAACATAAAATATACCTCTGCTATAATATATTTTTAATTAAATAAATATAGGTGAAATTTTGCCTTCGTCTATAAAGAACTTTCGTTTAGAAATAAATGATACGACAGTGATACATAAGTATCAATGCGAAGCAAACAAGAAACAATGAAACGTATTGTATTATAGAATATAAATCTAGCGATACATATTGCACTAATATAGATGGACATTAGAACAGTTATGGACGAACGAATAAGGAATATTCACAGTCACAGTGCAGGAGGCCAGTGACCTCTTTCCATCAATATTCTCGATGTTTTCTTTTTTCGACATTTTTCTCTTCTGTCTTTTTCCTTTCGCTATTTTTCTCTTCTATCTTATTCCTTTCGATGTTTTTCCTTTGACATTTTTTTTCGCTCTTTTTCCTTTCGACGTTTCTCCTTTCGACGTTATTCCATCCATTCTTTATTTCTCTTGTGTGACATCAGTACTTCTTTTACGAAGTACCTTTATCCGTTCATGTGATGTTTTTTATTCGATTGTTCGTCACACTGGTATTTAATTTTCTGCCAAGAACTACTATTAATTTGCATACTAGACTGAGTTTCATGTTTTTCATTAGTGGACAAAGCCTACACGATTTTTTTATGTTTGCTGTTGGTTCTAGGAGTGGATTCATCACAAGCTATGTTGGATGTATTTAAAACAGGATCAGATTCAAATCCAAATATCGAAACAGTATGCATGGATGCTGTTACATTTAGTCAATCGAGTCAGTATTCATCATACGATCGTATTTTCTTAAAAGGCATGGTTCATTTCTTAACACCCGAAGAACGATCGATTGCCTTTGAAGGCTTTTACAAACAACTTGCACCTAAAAAGGGTAAACTATTGATAACTAGTAATCACCATGGGGTGCAATTGTATCCAATTGACGAACGTACAAAAAGTTTATTTCAAAAAATATTAAGCATTGAAACATTGTTCGATGAATTAAAACAAGCAGGTTTCAAGCAAATTCAGGAGGAAACATTTACGTATGAGTTTCCTCCGAATAGTGTTAAAGTTGAAGATTGGATCTATCTGATCGAAAATCGACTATGGTCACTATTTTCAGAAGAAAATATAAACCAAAAGCAAATGAAGGATTTAATTGATCACGTCAAAAAACAATATGAAAGCCCAAACAATTTTCAAACAATAGATAAACAAACAATAATAAAATGCTGCGTAGAATAAGTGATATTTAGTTTATGACATTCTTTAAAGATGATGAGCCATTTTTTGATTTAAACAAATAAAGAATTGAAATCCAAAGCATCACACGATCCGCATTTCGACCTTGTTTAACGTTCCTCCATAGAAATGTTTAGAATTTCATAAGGGTGTCAGTCTGGATGGATGTGAGTGTGGGTGTGGGGATTACTGAAAAAAAATCCGTAGAATCGTCAACATTTTGACTTGAAAAACGTTTCCATAAACCTTTGAAGGGTTTATGAACTGAAAGGTTTATAACAATGAGGGTATATGAAAATGAAAAGGGTATATGACGCGTAGTTGAGGGTGTATCAGTGAAATTTTTTTATCAAAAGAATTCATTATTCTACCCTCAGGAGTATATTATTCTGCGTTTTTATTTAAAGGGTATGCTGTTATACGTGTCAGGGTAGATCATTCTACGGGGCCTATGAAAGAGTTATTGTTCTACGCATAAGGGTAGATCACTCTATGGAGTTCACAAAAAGGTTTATTATTCTACACACAAGGGTACATTATTCAACGATTACTGCACAAATGTAGATCATTCTGTGGTTTCAGGAAGTGATTTTATTATTATACGCCTAAGGGTAGGTCATTCTACCGTTGTTGAAAGAAGGGTTTATTATTGCACGCAGAATGGAACATTTTTCTGGAATCATGAAAGGAAGGTTTTATTATGCTACGCTGATGGGTAAATAGGTGTGGGTGTGGGTGGGTGTGGGTCTGGGTGTGAGGTGTGGGTGGGAGTTTGGGTCTTCATTGCTTCTACTCTCATACTCACACCCACACACAGACACACACTCATACCCGCACCGACATCCACACCCACATCCAAACCCACACCCTCCACAAATTTTATGAATCTT